ATGTGATGTGTGTTTCTGCTGCATTGTATTGTATGAGGCCCGTGGAGGAATTGACCAGCAAGGGTTGCCTGCTGTTGGCAGAGGAAGTCGGGAGTGGAGTGACTGGGTTGCATGCACCATGATCAAACACCTGTTCCATTGTTTTGAGCGAGGGTGGAAGAGCATCTGTGCATCACACTGAGGGCTTGTCTGTGAGAAAGTCTACGCAAATAGCGGCAGCCTTTGTGGAAGACGGCGTCAAGAGCCGGGCTGCTTTGCAATTTGCTAAGACAACAAGAGAGCGTGATCTATTCCGGTGGTTCCTTGGTGCTAAACATAAACGTTTGAACGCATTTCAGGATGTAGGTTTGCGGCGAGGCGTTTGAATGGAAAGCCTAAAGTTGTGTGCCCCCACAAGGATTCAATTGCCCTTCGCTCCGTACATTACCAAGATCCCTTTGCTGGCGACTGACCCTGGATCACATGACCAGATTGAGAAAGATGTTGAGGTGGCGTTTGTGCTTCCGTCCACAATTATTTCCGCCATTTTCAAGCGGGGACCAGCTGCTTCCAATGCTTGCTTCTTTGATGAAGGACCTGACAGTGTTCTCAAATTTTGGCTGTCTGAAGACAAATCCTTTACAGATCGACTTGGCGGAGTTGACAGTCTTGCCTACACTTTACCTCTTTACTTCCATGAAGATGCGGTACCACGTTGGAGAGGAGATTCTGGAACATTTCTCAGTTGGTCAACTCCTTTGACCAGTGGCGGCAGTTGGACATCAAGGAAGTGTGTCATTGGATTGGCTACGAGCACTATGTCGCAGGCCACCAGGCACAAGATATTGGACATCTTGGCCTGGGATATGAAAGCTTGCTTTGAAGGTGTCTTCCCTTCGTGCGATCATCTTGGGAATCCTTTTCCACCAGGATCTGAGTTTGCAAAGCGGGCCGGTCAGCCAATTGCTCAAGTTCCAGGTGGTCCAAAGTGGCGAGCTGTTTTTGCAAACTGGAAGGGCGACCAAGAGGCAGCTGCAGCTGCTCATGAGACTTGTTGTCTTTATCAACGCCCTTTGTGAGTTGATTGTGTGTATGTGTATGCGTTTCCCTGACCCGGCTGAAACTGAATTCGTTGCCATGCTGTTTCTGGGCAAGTGTTGTCAAGATCTTTTGATTTATTGCCATGTATTGGTAAGGAAGCGACCAGATCATTCAGACACACATTTATTTGTGATTGGTGCTTTGCAAGTCGGACTGCAGAGATGTTGAACTATGCAGATTTCACTTCAGATGCGTTTTGGAGAACGACTGAATGCTCGAGAAGTGACCCTGGACAGTCTCCATGGCTGCGAGTCTTTGGATTTTCCAAAGACAGGCAACTGTGGGATTGCCACTTGATTGAGATTTGTTGGGTTGCAGTTTCTTGTCGACTTTGTCAGACTTTTCCCAAATCAATCATTGTACGTTGTTACTAGTCATGAACTACAATGGTTCCTTGGTGTCCCAACTTAGGTATGCATATTCTTCATTTGGGCATCATCAGGGACATCGTGGGCAGTTGTGTGGTGGACATGTTGAAATCACGAGATCTTCACAAATATGTTGGCTTGGGAGAAGATGCTTCGAACGACTTGGTGCTCTACAGATTGACATCAATGGCTCGAGCTTGGGCTAAAGAGCACAAACTGGAACTCTCGATCAAGCCTCTGACAGAGTCCACTGTCGGGTACTCATCCACTAGCTATGCAGGCTTGGAATCATCCATCAAAGCAGCCAGGGCAAGGGTGCTGTTTGAATTTGTTTGCAAGGTTTGTATTGACGTGGAACATTCTTTACCAGCGAGCTCTGATGGCATCACAATCTACCATGCGCAGCTGAGGGCATCCATGTGTTTTTCCTTGAGTGCCTGCTTGAGCATTTGGACGAAGGGATGCAGACCTTCACTTTCTGACCAAGAGAGGTCTGTGTCTGTGGCTATGGGGCGGTTGTTCTTGGAAATGTATGCAGCTCTTTCTCTGGAGGCTCAGATTGACCAGAAGCTGCTTTTCAAAGTGCGCCCAAAGCACCATTACATGTGCCACCTCTTGGACCAGACAGAGATCTCAGGTCGCAACCCACTGGCGCTAAGCAATTTTACAGATGAGGATCATATGAAGCACTTGCGTGGCATATCCTTGGGATGTCATCCGTTGACAGTCACAACGACTTGGGCCAGACGGTACATCCTGAAACAAACTTTGCTGTGGCAGCGCCTGCAGCAAACGCCAAAAGCGGTAAAAAAATAGGTTTGTTGAGCCGGCGCACATGTTTTGCACGCAGTTCCAAACGTTAACAAACAAACGAAACAGACAAACAAAACGAAATAAGGGAACTCAAACAAGCAAGACCCGCTTCGATTCTTTGCCTGCCTATATATTTGAAAGAACGTTGGCTTTGCCACTGTTTTGTGCTGCTTCTGTCACAAAGTATAAAACACACCCAAACACCTCATGCGTACTTTCAGGGTTTTGAAGTGCTCACACTCCTCCCCAGAAAGAGGCTTCCCGCTTCAGATGCACATCTCCCCAGAAAGAGGCTTCCCACACACCCACTGTGAGGGACCCCTTGCTGAGAAGCTATATAGAGACGCAGGCTTCAGACGCAGACTTTCAGCAGAAAGAGGCTTCCCACACACCACCCTGACCCTAGCTGAGGGCGTAGCATATGGTAGCTGAGCTGGGAGAATACAACCCTATGCCCCAGGAATGTATTTTTCCTAAAAAAATGTATTTTTTTTAAAAAAATGTATGTTTGATTTTTGGGGTGTATAAAATACATTTTTTCAGCCACTTGGGTTCTCCAGGATGAGGTTCCCTGTGGGATGCAGATGAAGATGGCAACGGTGAAGGAGGTCTTGGGGGTGTTGGCACACGCACCTCAGGCGACCCCTTGGGTCGCGGTTGCAGCCTCACCGGTCGGACCGGTTGTGTAAGCTGTGGCCTCTCTGCGGCCTGATCTTCAAGTGCAAGCGGGGCCTCTGCTGGCCGTGGAGCCGATGCAGCTCTGGGTTCAACAGGCGGAGTGCGATGTCTGACTGGCGGCAACGGCGGGCGGGGTAGTGCGTCAAGCTGCTTCTTTCGATCCGCCTGTGCTGCCTCTCCCGCTTCCTTTCGCCCCTTCGACTTTGCAAATGCCCGAGTTCTTGCTTCTGTCTGAGGTGATAGCGACGATTCCGGCGGCGAGGTAGTTGACGACGGCCTCGATCTCGTGCCCCTGAGTTCCTTGGCCTGCTCTCTCAAGTGCTTAGCACCTTCCCGGAGAATCCTTCTTGCCTGCCGGCGGGATTCCGGCGTGGATTCCTCAGCGGTTTCTGGGGTGGGCGCAGCCTCAGTCTCGGCTGGCTCTGTTGGTGGAACGGTCTGCTCCTCTTCGGCCTGCTCGACCCTTACCTCGACAAAATCCGACGCTTCACCACGACCTGCGGCACGCGAGTGCTCCTCTCTCTCCTCCGTCTCGCAATCAACACGCTCAACCGATGGAGAAGCACGCGACACAACTTCAGGAGGAGAATCAACGGGCCTCCAATGCTCAGGTCCGGCAAGATCTCTCGGATCAGGATCCGGAATCCACACCCACGCTTGCTATAGCCGCCCCGCGTAGGCGGGTCCGCGACTGGAGGGCCCGACGATGGGGCTGATCCTGCTCCTTCCTCTAACTCCTCTGACTCTTCGTGCTCGGCCTCCTCACGCTCCTCAGCAACAACACGCCTTGGGAGACTTCTGTGAGACACAGTTTCTGTGACTCCAGGTGGTGGCCCGTGGGGCAATCTTGGAGGTCGTCTTGGGCTTGAAGAGGTCTCAACGGAAGGCGGATTCGCCGGCTCACGCGGTTGCCGACGATCTGGAGGTGGGCCCGACGGTTCAACTGGCCTTGAACGAGCGTAGTATTTCGACTCTGGCGGTGGCGAAGAACCTCTGGTCCGATGCTCCACCTGTAGTCCAACACGCTCATGATACCTCTGAGAGGGGCGATAAGGGTCACCGCCCCTAGCCCGTCTCTCACGGGGTCGTGATCGATCAGCAACCGATCGCGAGCGGTCCATTCGCGCTAAGGCGCGAGCAAGGGAGCAAGATACAAAAAGTGTAGTTGTACTTGGTCTTGATCAATCAAACAACTATGTCCTTGGCCCTTGACTTACAAGACAATGAGTTGAACTCTCAGTGCACTCTCTGGTCTCTCTCTGTTCACACGATCCCGCAGCTCAGGGTGTCTCTGCTGCGGCTGATAACCAGTACATTCTTAGATCTGTGTATATATGCTTCCAAATGTGAGCAATGTACAGCAAATGTCACGATACGATGCAACGAACGATCGGACCCAGGCTGCCGCACAAGTTTCTTCTCACACTTGAGCCAAACGAAGTTTGTGTTTGACTTCCGTCTCTGATGTCTATACAGCAGTGCTTTCACTCAAGGTTACGTGTAACGGTATGGCATTGTTGCCACTGCTATTCCAGAATGCTATTGCAAACTGCAATGCAATGCTTACACACAGCATCAATTTCCAACGCTACCAAGCAAGGGGAAAAGCTGGTAGCCAATGATATCTCTCACATGTTACAAACCATGGTTCTAACCGAGGGTGGTTTTCTGAAAGTTATGAAATTATATATTATTATATGATATATATTGATATATTGATATTGAAAGTAGTTTGTGGAAAATGAAGGTTTGCATATCTCAGCACAAGATCAAGCGGATGATCCCACTTGATGGTTGTGAATCCCCCTCCTAGTGTTATTTGTCATTTACGATTCCAATGCCTTTTCGAAGCTAGTTCAAAGCTCTTTGGCCTCCATTAGTTGAACCTCACTCCCCTTTTCCCTTCTTGATCACGTGGATTCATTCTCAGCTCACAATTTACAAGGACACACTGAATATAGTTGGCATCTTCAAATGGGTTTATTGAGCAGGGCATCGATCAACCATCAGAGGTCTTTTACCGATTCTGCGATGTCAACCCGTCAACCATCTCACGCCAACCTTGCAGGCAAGCGCAAGCGTGTTGAAGGTGATGGCCTGCGGCGGCCATTGGCAAAAATTCAACTGATCCGACGTGTCGTGCGAGCGAAGGGGCTGCAACATGGGAGCGGTTGCACGTCACATGTGTGAGCCGTTTGGAAACGATGTCAATTCCACGAAGGAAGGAAGGAATGAAGGTCTAAAGGTCTACGGCCTAATAGTTTAATAGTCTCATGAAGCAGGATAAGTTATCAGGAAACAAAGAAATAACATGTTCCCAAAAGGTACATATATTATATATATATATAGAGAGAGAGACTCTATAATAAGGAAAACAAGTTAACAAGTTCAACATCTCCCGAATTCGCTCAGCTCAGCATGCATATCGCCCGAGCAGTCCCCCCGTCCGTCGCCAAGGGCCACCAGGGCTGCGTGAGCGCAAGGGCACGTTGCCAGCGCGCCACGTTGGCCAAGGCTAAGGCCACACTGTTCACGCTCACAATGTCCACCTGCCGGAATGACCATCGCTGCTAGAAACAAGAAGCTACTAGGGGCTTCTGGCCTTACTACTAGGAACAAGAAGCTGCTAGGGGCTCCTCGCCTACTGGAGACTCCTGGCCTTACTACCAGGAACAAGAAGCTACTAGGGGCTCCTGACCTTACTACTAGAAACAACAAGCTACTAGGGGCTTCTGGCCTTACTACTAGGAACAAGAAGCTACTAGGGGCTCCTGGCCTTACTACTAGAAACAAAAAGCTACTAGGGGCTTCTGGCCTTACTACTAGCAACAAGAAGCTGCTAGGGCCTCCTCGCCTACTGGAGACTCCTGGCCTTACTACTAGGAACAAGAAGCTGCTGGAGGCTCCTCGCCTACTGCTACTATTACTACTATGGACAAGAAGCTGCCAGGGGCTCCTCGCCTACTGGAGACTCCTGGCCCTACTACTAGGAACAAGAAGCTACTAGGGGCTCCTGGTCTTACTACTAGAAACAAGAAGCTAGTAGGGGCTTCTGGCCTTACGACTAGGAACAAGAAGCTACTAGGCGCTCCTCGCCTACTCGAGACTCCTGGCCTTACTACTGGGAACAAGAAGCTACTAGGGGCTCCTGCTCTTACTACTAGACACAAGAAGCTACTAGAGGCTTCTGGCCTTACTACTAGCAACAAGAAGCTACTAGGGGCTCCTCGCCTACTGGAGACCCCTGGCCTTACTACTAGGAACAAGAAGCTACTAGGGGCTCCTGGCCTTATTACTAGAAACAAGAAGCTACTAGGGGCTGCTGGCCTTACTACTAGGAACAAGAAGCTACTAGGTGCTCCTCTACTGGAGACTCCTGGCCTTAGTACTAGGAACAAGAAGCTACTAGGGGCTCCTGGCCTTACTACTAGAAACAAGAAGCTTCTAGGTGCTTCTGGCCTTACTACTAGGAACAAGAAGCTGCTAGCGTCTCGCCTACTGGAGACTCCTGGCCTTACTACTAGAAACAAGAAGCTACTAGGGGTTTCTGGCCTTACTACTAGAAACAAGAAGCTACTAGGGGTTTCTGGCCTTACTACTAGGAACAAGAAGCTCCTCGCCTACTGGAGACTCCTGGCCTTACTACTAGGAACAAGCAGCTACTAGGGGCTCCTGGCCTTATCACTAGAAACAAAAAGCTACTGGCGGCTTCTGGCCTTACTACTAGAAACAAGAAGCTGCTAGGGGCTCCTCGCCTACTCAAAACTCCTGGCCTTACTACTAGGAACAAGAAGCTACTAGGGGCTCTTGGCCTTACTACTAGAAACAAGAAGCAACTAGGGCTCCGCGCTTACTGGAGGCTCCTGGCCTTACTACCTTACTACTAGGAACAAAAAGCTACTAGGGGATCCTGGCCTTACTACTAGAAACAAGAAGCTACTAGGGGCTTCTGGCCTTACTACTAGGAAACTAGGAACAAGAAGCTACTAGGGGCTCCTGGCCTTACTACTAGAAACAAGAAGCTACTAGGGGCTTCTGGCCTTACTACTAGGAACAAGAAGC